TCTTCTCCCATCCCCTGTGCACAAATTCATGCACTAGGCCTCTAGTGTTACATTATCTGAATCTCTACTTACTCTCTACTTCATCTGTACTTTATACACCTTTTTACATTCCAATGTAAGAAAAGTTATACCTTCTTTTAAAAGCACCGAGCCAGTTTGACTCAGCGAGCAGAATGTCAGCCTGCAGACTGCAAGGTCCTAGGTTCGATTCCAACCAAGGGCACAAGCCCAGGTTGCGAGCTCGATCCCCAGTGTGGGGCATGCAGGAGGCAGCCAATCAATTATTCTCTCTCAGCCTTGATGTTTCTATCTCTGTCTCCCTCTTCCTCTCCGAAATCAATAAAAGTATATTTTAAAAGAACAAAAGTATAACATGACAGTCTCCTATGAACCAGGAGACTGTGGTTCAATTCCTGGTCAGAGCACATGCCCAGGTTGTGGGCTTGACCCCCAGTAGGGGGTGAGCAGGAGGCAGCCTATGGTGACTTTTTCTCATCATCAATGTTTCTCTCTCCCTTCCTGTCTCTGAAATTAATTTTTAAAAATATTAAAAGTATTTAAAAGTAAAAATGAGAAATACATATTTTCACTATAAAAATGAATGTCAGCTAATATACAGTAAAAAAGGGCTTGCTAAGTAGATATGAAGATTAACTATAAAGACAATACATATGTCTTTATGAATAACAGTTTTTCAAGCTCCGTAGGGGTAAGATGAGCCCTGATGTGGGCTTCTTCCTGGCCACTTGCCATTTGATGCACTGCTGCATCCCTGGGGTCCCGGACTGAGAGAGGAGACTCTCCCCCTCCCTAGGATATACTGAATTGTCTACCTTAAGCTCTGAAAGAATACTGGAATATCTCCAAGCACCTATGTCAAAATCAGCAATCATTATCTTGAGTGGTAGAATTATTGGTAATTTTCTTTTTCTTTATACTTTCTGGATTTTTCAAAATGATTACAATACAGTATTTTTATTATGAAGAAAATGTCACTTTAAAAAAGTAGATATTTCTATACGTTTTCTTTAAACAGAAATAGGGAAGACAGCTGAATATTCTAAGATCTGAAAACACTAACTTAACTTTTGTGGAAATTCAACAGTATATCAAATGGACTAAATATTGAAAACAAAACAAAATGTTGTTTGCTTTCATTCTTTATGACTTTTAATGGAGATTGAAGTTCACCTAAATATTTTGGGGTGATATTTTCTTCTAGAAACTTGATGAAAATGCCACTGAAAAAGTCCAGGCAATGTTTATAGCCATTGACGAGCTCTTGTATGAGCAGAAGTTGAGCATACACACTAGGAGTCTGCAAGAAGAGTGCCAACAGTGGACATGCAGTTTTCCTCACCTCAGGTATTGAAGCCCTAACGCTAACATATTCATGGGTAATGCTAGAACTTGAAAAGCTTGTATTATGAATCTTCATGAGCATGGCTTTGATGAACGTAAATAAAGCCATGGAATGTAAAGTTGAGAGAGAACCAAGTTGATGGAAGTTTTTTGGAGTTTTCATAACTGTCCATTTCTGTACCTGTAAAACAGCTTCTATACCTGCAGCCGAGATAGTGTGTGTACTGTGGCTGTCCAAAAGCCCTTCTTTTGAGTAAGTCAGAAAATCTAAACATTTCCATTCTTACCTACAGGTAAATTCTTAATTATAGTTGAAAGCACACATAAGCTGTTGGGAATCTTATTTCAGAAACCTTAAAAGTGCACTTAACACATACTAATTTATAAAGCTTCATGTTCTAAAGAATATAATTCATGATTTTCATTAATTTGGTCTGGCTGTCACCCATTTTGACAGGTTTAATACAGAGGACGGAGGAAAAAATTACAAATGTTTTCTCAGTTTCCTTGGATTTTTATGGGGTGTGTGTGGCTATAATAGCTTTATCTTTTCCATGTCTAATATATATATATATATATATATATATATATAGAGAGAGAGAGAGAGAGAGAGAGAGAGAGGTCTTTAATAAAGCTCTGTATTCACATTTTTCTTAAAAATAATTCTTAATCAGTATCAGAATAAGGGTATAGTAGAACTCTATTAGTGCCCAGCTATTTGTTCCGAAAATATCTACATTTTTTTATTCATGCCAGGTAAAGGTGCTTAATTGTCTTTTTATGTTCATTTTGAAGGATTTTGGGTAAGCAGATAATCACTCCAAGTGAAGGTTATGAACTGTACCCTAGATCTCCTTCTGCTATTTCAGCTTCACATGAGGCAACATTGTCTCAAGAAAGAGATTCTACTATGTAAGTATTCTGATATGTAAGTATTTATGTATCTGAATGCCCAAGTATTATATTCTACCAGTATATTAAGGAATTAAAATACTTCCTACTTTTTTCAGCTTTAAAGTAGAGTTTTTATTTCTCAAATGAAAATAAAATATTGACCAAAATAAGTGAATGTGAAGAACAACTTTATCCCAAAGAATTTGAAAAGGAAGTAAGGCTATGTCTGTGAAGGTCTTTTTGTTTTTTATTTTTGGTTAATTCCTTCACCTTATCCACCCAGCCCTTAAACCCCACCCTTCTGATCACTGTCAATCTATTCTCTGTAATATGCCATTATTTAAACAACCAGTCCTTAAACCTGTATTTTGAAATTATTGGGATAGCTTCAATTTTTGACAATGATAAACAATTCTGTGAAAAGTTTATAGCTAAATCTTATAGGGCACATCCTTGAAGGTAATACCAATAAATGGAATCACTGAATTAACAGGTATATTTATTTGAAGGCTTCTAATGCATATTTCCAAAATGTCTTCCAGTAAGATTTTACCACTGGCCTTGCTGAAAAATGCCATAGATTTATTCTTTTTTCCCCCATTTAAAAAATACCTAAGGTACAAAAAAGTATAAAGAATAATATAAAGCGTATCTTAGTTATCCATATATATATGAGCCTAAGCGACTGTTCGACTGCTCGACTGGTAGCCACTGTAAAAGGATCATCAGGAGGGAGATGCTCAACGCATGGGCATGGAAAACATGGAACAGACTGATGAATCTCAGAGGGAAGGAGGGAGGGCGAGGGCGGAAAGAGATTCACCAAAGATTTTTATATGCTTACTAGACCCCGGTGCACGGATTTGTGCACCAGAGGGGTCCCTCGGCCTGGCCTGGGGGGATTGGGCTGAAACCGGAAGTCCGACATCCCCCGAGGGGTCCTGGATTGTGAGAGGGCTCAGGCCAGGCCTCTAGTGCATGAATCCATGCAACAGGCCTCTAGTCTCTAATATTTAGTTAAACTAAGAGCCATTTTTAAAAATGGTATTACTCAAATGATCAAATACCTCCTATCCTGGAACCGATTAATCAGTAGAGACCATGACCTTAACCATAACTCAGCTCCTTTATCTCCATGATTAGTGTCATTCCCCTTATATAACCGTCCTCTGAAAGACAAGTCTTTAAGCAGATTTGCTCACCTGGGACTCCTGGCCAGTTCCTCAACTAATAAACTTTACTTTCTTTGCTGGAAAACAAAATTGTATTGCTCAGATCTGTCTGACTTTCTCCACATTAAGCTTGCTGAAGTAAAGAAATCATCACATATTCAATGAATACCTGGGTTTGAAGAAAAACTTAAATATAAATAAGAGAAGATGCCTGGCTTTAAAGAGCATGCATTTTGAATAATGATAAAATTATTGAAATAAGCACATAACCGCCTGAAATGCCTTTAAAGATGTAATTATGAATATAAGTATGCTTAATTTTAAAAAATCTATTTTATAGCCACAGCTGTTGCATCTGAAAAGATAACCAGCAGTATTCAATACTGCATAATATACCTAAGCAGAGTATGTCTATGGCTAGTATTTACTCCTCCTGCTCTGAGAATTAAAAGCATTAAGGTTTATAGTAGTCAAGGGAAGTGTCATCAGGGCAAGGGAATTTGAACTGTGAGAGCTATTTATGTTAATCAATATTTTCTTTTTCTTTCTCCCAGATTTGGTATTAGGGGAAAGAAGTTACATTTCTCAACTTCTTATGTTCATAAACCATCTTCCATTGCCAAATCCCCTAGCTTGTGTTCTATGGAAAAAGAAGAGGAAGACTGTGTAATTCTCTCTGAAGGAGTAATAGAGGAATACTTAGCATTCGACCACACGGATATGTGAGTATTCTGGTTTTTAAGTTTCTTTCTCATCTCTTATGTATTAACCCCTATTTTCTCTAAAGTACACTACCAATATTACCTATAATTGTCATTTTGTGTTGTTGTTGTTACATCTTTTCCACTACTTCTCAGGTATCCAGAGTTCACGTGCTTAGTTTATATAAATCCCTGCTGGTGCCACAAACCAGGCATCCTGGTGTGCTTTCCTCCTGCACATGTCATTTGCCTCTTCTTGACATTAAACATTTTTAAATGAGTTAATTTCCCCCCCTCCCCCCACATAATTTGATTTTACCCTTTGTAAATTATCACCAGCAATTCATGGAATCACAGAAAATTTTTTAAAGAGGTGTGAACTTCATTTACATAAACCCTGTTTTAAAAAAAGTTATATACAGTTCATATAAAAATCTTATACTCAGCACAGATTTTATAATTAATGATGCTTACTTATATCTATTCTTATTGTAGTCTGACAATAGTCTTGTGACACAGACATTATTTACCCTCTTTACAGGATGAGAGTCAGAGTAGTTAAATGATTTGTCTGAGGAAAAGCTAAAACTAAAACCTATCCGATTCTAGGTCCAATGTTCTCTTCAGTATTCCATGCTGCCTTTCTGAAACAACCTCTTACACCACATGTGTCAAACACAAGGCCTGCGGGCCAAATCCGTCCCGCCAGGCCTTGCAATGTGGCCTGCACCGCGCTGTCATCACTGAACTCCGCTGCGTTTCCATCACAATGACAGTTTATGACTGTTCAGTAAACCATTCGGCCCGCGATTTAGGCTGGATTTTAGATTTTGGCCCCTTCTCTGATTGAGTTCGACACCCCTATTGTTCTTTTAGCTTTGAAAGTCACAGCAGCATATCTGGAAGCGAGAGGATTTCATTTTAGGCTATGAGGGTTTGGTTTAGATCTAGTTAATATTGTGTCAGATGATTCTGGACTTTTCTCCCCATCATATTTCCTACTGAGCCATGCTTACTCATGTGTTCAATGGCACACATTCTAGGGCCAGCTAAACATAACCCAGATTCCTGTACATAACACCATTGAACTCCTCCTTGTTGCAAAAGAATTGCAATTAGGTTCTTTGGTTTTCTAGTCTGCCCTCTTACCTTTTATTTCACTTGTATTAAGTTGATTATCTATATTTTCTCTTCCTTTTTCCTCTAGCCAATCTTTTCCTTTGGTGCAGTACAGTATGTAATGTAACTTTCTCTGGATGTATGTATGTTTACTTTTAGAAATGTACGTTGGGCCAGGACCGGTTTGGCTCAATGGATAGAGCGTCGGCTTGGGGACTGAAGGGCCCCGGGTTCGATTCCGGTCAAGGGCATGTACCTTGGTTGCGGGCATATCCCTAGTAAGGGGTGTGCAAGAGGCAGCTGATCAATGACTCTCTCTCATTAATGTTTCTAACTCTCTATCTCTCTCCCTTCCTCTCTGTACAAAAATTGATAAAATATATTAAAAAAAAAAAAGAAATGTACGTTGGGGGACAAAGATGTAGGAGACTTATTTTTCTCTACATGCATACATTTTTCATCATATGAATGAATTTTTCATCATATGAATGTGTTATCTCTTCTAAGAAGAAATAGAGATAGACTTAACTCACTGAGAGTTTCTGGGTTACAGATACAGTCTCCAGAAGAGGTTCAGAGTAGCTTCCTGTGCTGTTGGGCTCTTTTTTCTTTCCAGGCAATTACCGAATGTTTATTTGGATTAAATAATCTGTGTGGACTCTTTCCCTAGTGAATCATTGCCATAATTATGCAGCATAATCACAGTTACATGCACATCATTAAATGTCACATTAACATTAGTCTAAATGTTATTCAGATTATTTCTGTATGCTTAGTTATCACAGCTTGTTACTCAGTTGACAATGCTCATCTATTTAAAGCTAAAAAAATCAGTGATTCTCAGTCTTCTATTTTTTGTTCTGTTTTGGGGGCAAAGTAGCGGGTGGGGATAATAAGGGAAATGCAGTCTCCTCTGTTGAGAACTCCCTTAATTTACAAGGCAACTTAATAAATGTGCTTCATATGCTGGGCAAGGGGCAGGGAAACATGGGGTACAGATCACACTTCTAAGGAGCACAAAGGACAATGGTGAGCATTCAGTGAATGACCACAAAGTCTTTCCATCTCGCTTCTGTTACAGGGAAGAGGGGTTTCATGGAAAGAAATCAGAAGCAGCAGCAGAGAGACAGAAATCAGGCTACCCTCCCATTGCTCCATTTTACTGCATGAAAGAGGATGTCCTTGCTTATGTGTTCGATGAAGTGTGGAGCAAGGCCCTGAGCTGCATGGAGCAGCTGACACGCAGTCACTGGGAGGGATTTGCTTCTGGTAAGGTTCTTTGTGAAAAAAATATAAAAAAGTAATTGTTTATGGTTTCCAGACCCTAACTAGTCTATTATAATAGATTATATGCTTCATTAGTGCAAAAGACTCGTATTTGTATTTCCCACAGAAACTAAGAGATATTTAGAAATATTTGAGAGGAGCAACAAGTCTATGATGACTAGACAGAGACTGTGCTTTCTCTTTGAATATAATTATTTGTGAGAAAAAAGCATGTACAAGTGGCAAGTACATCTTTAAACTGCTTTATTAAAGAATAATTGATATCCAATAAATCATGCATATTTAAAGTATATAAGTTGATAAGTTGACCTGTGTATATGAATATGAAACAGCCAATAGAGTGAACATACCATCACCCCTCAAATTACCTTGCCCGGCACACCATCCCCAAGTGACAGTTAATCTGGTGTCACTATAGTTTTTGTTTTTGCAGAATTTCATATGAGTGGACTCATGGTATTTACACTTTTTCTATCAGTTTCTTTCACTCAACATGATCATTTTGAGATTCATCCATGTCCTCGTGTGTACCAATCACTTATTCCTTTTATTGCTGAGTAGTATATTCCATTGTTCCATAATTTGTCCCTTTATCAGTTGATGGGCATTTGGATTGTTTTTACCTTTGGACTGTTAGATGTTATGAACACCATTGTACAAGAATTTTTTGGAAATATATTTTCTTTTCTCTTGGATAAATGTATGAGTGGAATAGTTCAGTTACATAGTTAGATGTATATTTAACTTTTAAAGAATATGTTTGTATTGGTTTTCTATGTTGCACAAAAAATTATCACAGGTTTGTGGGTCAGAAGTCCAGGAACAATCCTCTAATTGGGATCTCAAAAGGCTGCAATCAAGGGATTGACTGGGCTGAGTTCTCATGTAGAGGCTCAGCTAGAAAAGGATCTACTTTCCCTCGTGTGTGTTCTTTGAAGGATCGGTTTCTTGTGGCAGTCAGGGCAGCTTTCTTCTTAAAAAACAGCAAGAAAGATGAGAACTAGTTTATTAGCAAGACAGAAGCTAATATACTGTAACATAATAATGGGAGACACATCCTATCACTTTTACCATCACCTATTGGTCTGAAAAAAGTCACAGGTCTTACCCTTATTCAAAGGGAGGGGATCACACAGAGGTGTGACCACCAAGAGGTGAGCATCAGGGGAGCCACCTTAGAGTTTGTCCACAACAGTCCTCCCTCTGGCGCCCAATGATTCACGTGCTCCCACATGAAAAATACTTTCAACTCCTTTCCAAGGTTTCCAATAGACTCATCTTATTATAGCCAGCAGCTCAGAGGTCCAAAATATTACCATCTAAATCAGGTCTGTCTATGAATCAAGTGCTTGGATGTAATACATTAAGTAAAGCCACTGGGGCACAATTCCTTTCCATTCATACACCTGTGGAACTAAAGGTTATATATTCCTAGAGACAAGTTATGTGACTCCACATCCAACATATAATACTGGGCCCAGAAAGGATAATAGTTACAGACATTGTAGTTTAAAGGGTAAGGGTGGGAGGATAGAAAGTAAAAAAGGGTCCAGTTCAATTCTGAAATCCAACTGGGAAAGTATTGGCAGTTCATTAAGTTTCAAAACCTGTAAATAATCCTCTCAACTCTCTGCTGCACTGACTGGGCTCTTTGTTTCACTCTCTGAGTCATCTTTCCTTTTTCATGAAAGGTAGCACATGTTTGCAGCTAAGTAGTTCTATCAGGCTGCTTCCGGCCAATAGAATTTTGGAGTTCTGACCGTCTTCTTCCATTTAGAATCTTTTTGTTATCTAGAGAGACTGAGAATTTCCAAAATCATCAGGTACTGGTTTACTTATGATTAATAATTTTTTCTTCAATATATCTCTCTCATCTCATACCCTATCTAATAAAAGAGAAACATGCAAATTGACAGTACCTCCACTACACCCAAAAGCCATGCCCACCAGCCAATCAGGAGGAAGTATAGAAATTAAACCAACAAATATGGTGGCAGCCATGGAACTGGAGCAAGCAGGAGGCTAGGGTTGCCTCCAGCAATGGAGGAAGCCAAGCTTCCCGCCGGCCCGCCCTGTCCGGTCCTGGCCTCCACTCAAGGCTACAAAGTCAATTATAGAAGATAAATAAATCCCAACAAAAATGGCAGCAGCCACAAAACTGGAAAGAGCAGGAGGCTTGGTTGCCCACAGCTATGGAGAAAGCCAAACTTCTCACCCACTCTGGCCAGCCCTGACCTTCACTCAAGGCTACAAAATTTCAATTATAGAAGATAAATAAATCCCAGATACAGGGCCTCCACTTGGGTCGCTGGGGGGCATGGCCGGCCTGCAAACAACCACAGGCACCTTTGGTTGTTTGCCCAGGTCCCCCACGCCCCAAGGGAACCCCCACCCTGATCTGAGACACCCTTCAGGTCAATCCAGCCGGCTCCTATCCATGCACCAAGCCTCTAACCCAGTAGTCCGCAAACTCATTAGTCAACAGAGCCAAATATCAACAGTACAATGATTGAAATTTCTTTTGAGAGCCAAATTTTTTAAATTTAAACTTCTTCTAATGCCACTTCTTCAAAATAGACTCGCCCAGGCTGTGATATTTTGTGGAAGAGCCACATTCAAGAGGCCAAAGAGCCACATGTGGCTCAAGAGCCGGAGTTTGCCTACCACAGCTCTATCCTATCCAATAAAAGAGTAATAAGCAAATTGACCATCAGTCAATGGTCAAGATGGCTGCCTCCATGTGGTCAAAAATGACTGCCCCCATGTGGACACAAGATGGCCAGCAGGGGGGGCAGTTGGGAGGGACCAGGCTTGCAAGGGAGGGCAGTTTTAGAGGACCAGGCCTGCAAGGAAGGGCAGTAAGGGGTGACCAACCTGGCAGGATAGTGGTTATGGGGTGGTCAGGCTGGCAGGGGAGTGGTTATGGGATGGTCAGGCTGACAGGGGAGTGGTTATGGGGTGGTCAGGCTGGCAGGGGAGTGGTTATGGGGTGATCAGGCTGGCAGGGTAGTGGTTAGGGGGTGGTCAGGCAGGCAGGGTAGCGGTTAGGGGGTGGTCAGGCTGGCGGGATAGTGGTTAGGGGGTGGTCAGGCTGGCAGGCAGAAGTGGTTAGGGGCAATCAGGAAGGCAGGCAGGCAAGCAGTTGGGAGCCAGCAGTCCTGGATTGTGAGAGAGATGTCCCAAATTGGATAGGGTGCAGGCTGGGCTGAGGGACACCACCACCACCACCACCACCCCCGTGAACAAATTTTGTGCACTGGCCTCTAGTTTTATTATAAGCAGCAGGCGTCTTACCCTCAATAATTTGATTGGAAATCTCCTTAGCTATATAACCAAGACTATCACTTAAAAGTTCTGCTTTTCACATGACTACAGGAGACCACTTCATTAACCTTCCTGCCACCAAATAACAAGCATCTCCCTTCTTCCACCTTCTATAAATATATATTTGACTTCAGGGAAGAAGAGAGAGGGAGAAATAGGAACATCAATGAAACTTAATCAATTGGCTGCTTTCTACATGACCCCCACTGGGATCCAGCCTGTAACCCAGACATATGCCTTAATGGGGAATTGAACTGTGACCTCCTGGTTCATAGATCAATGTTCAATCACTGAACCACATCACCCAAGCCCTTCTAATAAAATGTTCCTCATTTCCTTCAGAGCTCTTCCTCCAAATCCAGATTTCCACTAAGTCTGTTCAAGGCAATTTATGCAGTCTCCATCATACTTCTCTCCAGCTTCTATCAATGAACAATTGGAAATGAAATTAAGAAAACAGTTCATTTATAATAGCATCAGAAAGAACAAAATAAACTTAACCAAAGAAGTGAAAGACTTGTACACTGAAAACTACAAAACATTATTAAGAGAAATTAAAAAGACCTAAAGAAATAGAAAGACAACTGTGTTTATGGATTGAAAGACTTAATATTGTTAAGATGGCAATATCCCCCAAATAGATCTACAGGTTGACTATAATTCTTACAAAAATTCCAAGTGCCTGTTTTGTAGAAATGGAAAAGCTGATCCAGAAATTCATATGGAAATGCAAAGTACCCTGAATATACAAAACAATATTGGGGAAAAAATGGGAGGATTCACACTTCCTGACTTTGAAGCTTAATGCAAAGCTACAGTAATCAAAACAGTGTGGTACTGGCAATAGGACAGACATATAGTTCAATGGAATACAATCAAAAGCCCAAAAATAAAC